AACTATAAATCATTTTGCATCATGACGGACGGTAACCACTTCACCAGACTTGATTTTCTTCAGTGTTAGGCGTTTTTGCTGAAAAAAAAAAACTATTATCGCAACAAAGGATCTTACAAATAAGGCTACTACTGCACCATTTAACCATATCAAAGAAAAAAGCAATACCATTCGCTTCTTTTTGATAGCATGTTTCCGCTCCAGTTTGGCAGGATCGATGGTCGGCTTCAATCGATCGCGTTCTTGCCATTCATCATGAACTGAAAAGCGGAATCAAAAAAGCATTAAATTAAAGCTCGCAGACGATTCCATGGCTAATTTGACATATAAATTGTACTTACCTGTAGGGTAGAAAATAGTGTGACCAGAATCCTCTTTCACCACACGAAGTTTGCCATTTCTCCTAACAGCGAGCTAAAAACATGCATATCACCTTCCTCCTTCTGTTTTACTCCAGTTCTCAGGAACCAAATGCCACAGGCCGAAGTTTTTGATTCACTGATTAAAACCATGAGATGAAGGTACCTCTTATGATAAATTGGTCATCCGTTATGAAAGAAAACTGCAAAGAGGTGCAGACAAAAAGAAAAAAATCGAAAAATAACCAAAACCAGCAAAGCGGGACCAGTTGATCCCCTTCAGGGAGTGACATAGGGCTGACTTCATCATCGTGAAGGCCCTCCCCTTCCCTGGAAAAATGGCTAAAGTCCAACGGCACAGAACCAGCAAAAGGTGGTAGCCAATTGGTAAGCGGGCTGAGGGACCACGGCGTCCAGAGGGGTGGCTGTGGCCTTGCAGTGTATCTGGGCGCAAGCTTGATTGCAAACGCGCCATGTATCAGTCTATTAGGCGCCCATCCTCCATTTATAGTTAGCGAATTCCCCTTCTTCAACGTCTGAATTATCGTGCCTCAAGAGGCTAATCCAGTACCGTTCTCGAAGATATTCTACGTAACTTTTCTCTTTGAATGGATTACTTTTATAATTCCGGTGCAAGGTTACACATACCTTCAAGCCATCAGGAAGTGTAGAACACTCGTCAGTGACCTGTTCCATGCACCGCCTGCGTTTTGTTGGTTTCTCCAGTTGAACTTCAGATGCCATACCTACAAAAGTTCACATAAACATTTGGAACAAAAGATCAAAATTTTGTATACGAAGAGAAACACATAAAGACATAACTAACCGCAAACAAAGAAGTGAAGAAAACGACAATCTTACCGTTGTCAACGTAGACAGGTAGAGAAGGCGAAGATCCAACTGGTTGCACATATATACTGCGTACGTTGGATAGACCACCTGGACATGAACTAAGCACAGCATCCACGACCTTAAATAATAATCCCCAGAATTAAATAATTCCATTTTGCAGCATCTTTCGCGATTATTCAAAAAAACTGCATTAAAGCAGGTATTTGGGGAAGATCGTGTGCAAATACTGGAGAATCAGAGAAATCACTTACCGTATCGAAATTGGAGGCGAGATCCGATAACGGTTGTCCCAAGATGACCCAAGGATACATGTCTGAAGGAACAAAAGACATTCTTGAATACTTAGAATGATTAGTAGTAAAGTTAGACATACACTCTGGTAGCATATCGTTGCAACTCAAGCAGCCGAACTGTCTTTCAACTGATTTTTTTCAATCGCGGTCACCAGCGGCTTGGAATAATTGAAGTCCAGAGGTTCTCTAAATACATATTCTAACAAACATGAATTTGTATTGGAGCAAGAAATCTCCGAATCTCACTTATGCGTAATAACTTCGTATAGCATACATTCCTCAAGGATAGCGAGCGAACTGACTTCTCAACCCGAAACATATCTACCAAGAAAACAAATTCGTAGGTTGTTGCCTCAGGCACGCCTTTGAGAGAAACGTGTGATACTCTCGTTTCGCAATTTGCAGTTTTGGTAAGAATCTGAAGGCCATCAAATGACTGACGATAAATTGCTGCCTAATGTGTGACTAAAAAACCTTTGAGTAATGCTGATTTGTAAGACCGTGGTCCTTCTCAATCTTTTCAGCCCACTGTCGCGCCTTGCTTGTCTACATCAGGATCTCTCTGAAATACATAATAAATATTACCAATCAGATGGTCATCAGTAAAACATCTGAGTTGATCAATAACTGATCAATAACTAAGCGTTATCGACTGCCAGATAAAATAAATCTTCTATTCCGTTAACAAGCGATATTAATCATGTTCCTTTGCAGCAACAAAGCGAAACCTTTTTGAATATCTCGAGGCATACAATCATCTCGCCTATACTTTCAAGCACCTAGGAGCTTTGTCGCATGGCCAATCACACTGGTGTACAGCAACTGTGGCACATGTTTTTTCTATGCAGGGATCTCTCCTTGCCGGCCCATTGTCAACATACAATCCATGAGTTGGCCACTGGTGAAACAGAGAGCTAAGGCCCACGTTGAAAAGTTCGAAAATTATAGCGCGCGAAGCTATTTTACGATAATCGATGATGCCGCGCTGTGGCACACACAACGCGGTGCCTACTCGATGTGAAATTCCACCAAAATTCTAGGGTTAGCTCCGCCCAACCTGATGCACGCCCTGCCCATCGGTGGACCTGTCAACCCGGAGCTTTTCACGGTACGGTCTGAATAAGAGGACTTGTAAGCACTCAGAAGTGCGTTCCTCTCACTAACATTTCATTCCGCCCGCTTCATGCGCTTCGCTGCTCCACCAATTTTTCTACTTCAGCAGAGTAATGATTTTTTTAAATATCACAATCAGAGAACAACCAACGCGGCAAAGCATAGTTTTATGCAATACCGGTCACGCTCGACCACCGACTATGGGCAGCTCAATTCAATTTGCAGCTACCTTGGCTCGTGTCTAACACGTTCCAAAGTTGACTAGCCTCCCCAGGCGACTACTCTGATGGGATTTCGTGGCATACAAACAGACAGATTAAAGGTGAAGCCAAGCATAGTAATGAAGCAATATATTTGGTCAGAACCCCCGCAAACAGCGAATGTCATAAATTTTTCTAGAACATGAGAAGATTTGATAGCAGACTCACTCTTCCAGCAGCGCTTTGATCAAGATCCGGCATAATGAGACATATTGATGCATCAGATGGTGTTCGATGTGGACATGGAAGTATTCTAAAAAGGCAATGGAAAATAAGTAGGAAAACTTTGCGATCCAGTCTAGCAATATGCCACGTGCTAACTTACAAAAGTGAGTGAAAGAACACTTACATCTTGACCCGTGCCTTTTCGGTCGTCAAAGGAGGCTTCTTGTATACTACCGCGATGCCAACAGCTTGATCAATGTCAGGAAAGAGAGACTTCCCGCTTCGTTCTGCACAATGTTTCTTTAGTGCGCTTAGCGCAAGACGACCCTGAAAGTCGACATTTGCTCAAAAAGCAAATGGCTAATTGAAAATCCCGAACTGAGAAGTGAAGATTACCTGTTCTTTCATATTCTGAACTTTCTTCGGGTCACTTTCATCAAGGCTACTCATTTCCTTCTTTTCCTCTTTAGCAGAGGCCTTGTTCTCAGATCCATTTTTGTGTGTGTATAATATTCAGTGCGATCCGATAAGGCGGCAGCTTCTCTTGCTTATTTGAATCCTTCTTAGCTTTCTTGCCTAAAACAATAGCCATGACGAATTCGAAAGAGAGTTCCGTAAAACTCACTAGACGACCAAAAAGCCTTACACAATCGTTTGAAAAAATGGCACTATTGCACTATTACAGCAGCAAGAGCAGTAACAATTTTTCATCGAAACTTTGCCTATGGGGGTTACTCAGGCTCTGAAGGTCAGATCTCTGACATTTCGTTATCGATACTGCCCGCAAGATCGCGCCAAGCTTGGCGCCCCAATCTCACGAATTTCAATGAAAATTTATGTATGGGGTAGGGCATCCTACTACGAATTGAACACACCAAAAAGACAGTAAGCACAAGTATGCCACCGCCAGATGGCCTTTCGACAATTCAATCTCATTGGTAATTTTGAAAAAAAAAAAGAATAAGAAAAAAAAACCAAAAATTTTTACGTAAGCGCGACCCTACCAAAGCAACCGAAGAAAGCCAGAGCGCCGACTTCGCAGCCTTGCTGCAATTACGAATTCGCGCGACAATTCTCGAGTGTTACGTCTCTCACATGTATTTGATTACTTTGACAATTTCTCTTATGTTCACTGTCAAAAGAATGTCTAAAGCTTGAGCTGCATACTAAATCCTTTCCAGGAGCCCGCATTCTCATCCTTGCCCGCAGAATGCGTCCCCGCCGCTTGATTTTTATTCCTAAGCTCGGGGAATACAGGCTGCATGTCATAGAACCTCCCTTGATCGAGTGATGTTGTAGCTATCCTCTCCTCTTGAAGCATTCTTTCCTCTAAGGGGTCGCTCTGGTATAGGGTCCAGGAACGCAGAGTATGGCTGCTCCTATGACGCAAACCTGTATCCCCAATAGAGGATAGGCTCAGCGAGGGAGTCTCTTTGGGGGAAGGATATACGGCCCCTGTTCCGCACAGCCGAATGTGGGGTAGGTGCGTACTACCATGCGATTGCTACCTCCGTACGATCGTGCGAGGAAATTACGATCGATTATTCTTAATTCAGTTTGTTGCGATGCGGACGATACCGACGAACTACTTGCTGTGGTTTTAAGGGCCAAGCGCGAGCAATGCGAAGCCAGAACCGAAAATGCCAGTAATACAGGCCTGGGGGTCGCATGGGCTACCTTATATGCGGAAAAGTGAACGTGAAGTGAATTCAGTTTAGTCATCACACGCTATTCAGGCGAGAAGTGCAGACGAGAGCAGCACAACGCCTACTTGAGAAAAGGATTTCAAAAAGGATCGATTATAAAATTCTACGCCCTGAGTTCAAGTAGCCCCTAGTAGGATACTCCCTGGTGAGAAGTGTATAGCATGCAAGAAAGGTGAATACCGGGCGTGATTTACCGTTCCTGGCAGGGAAGCAGAAAATGGTCGAGGTGTTTACAACGCTACGTGAAGAAGCTCCCTTTTAAAACAAGACCTTTCAAATCTAATCTGTCCATTGGGCCCTCGCCTCGCGTTTCCAATCGCCCTTCACGGCAGGTCATATACTTCCCTAACCTCGAGGAATGCGTCACCACGGTCAACATTATCCTTCTAAATTTTTTTTTGGTTTCCCTTGCTTAATTCAGGTTTACTTCTTACTTGGGTGTCCCCCAACAGGCCCACCGCGCGGCGAAGGAAGAGACGCAGACGCGGCAAAGGGACGAGTCGCAGCGCATACCGTAGCGTTAGGCGTCAAGTTAAAGAGAGTGCACCACACTACGTCTAACATCGCACAGCACCTAACAACGGGGAGCGTCGTACCTGGTTGACTTCAGTCGCGTCAATCACACGTGAGTTGAGGTGCGATGTGAAGTTATATTTCATGGGTAAGTATGGCTGGGTGAAGTTGGGGGCGCAGGTAGGTAAAAAAAGGAAATTGCCGTACTACCCCTCTCCCCCCACCGCTCGACAGCAATTTTTGGCAAGGAAAGAGTGGGCCGGACGTTTCGTGGTTGACTGGTGTTTATCAGGATTAAATACTATAGAGAACTGATGATGTGTCATCAAGTGACCCAGCAAAGGAAACGACCAGCACTCCGGCAGGTTAAACAACACACAGTATCCGAGAGGGTGGAAACGGTCGTATCAAATCCACCTTGGGGATGAGGTCGTAAAAATATTTACAAAAAAGTCACCACCGCACACGATAGTGTCGACCCTCGCAGCCACATCACGTCTCTATATCTGCACATCCGCAACGCCGCTGCAACTTCGTCTCTTGTGCCGCATCTGAGTCTCTTGCTATACGACGTCGCGTGGGTCCTCCTGTGGGGACACCCTTCTTTACTTTGCAAAATCCCCGATGTTAGCACCGAGGAATTCAAAACAAACTAATGAACTGAAAAATAAAGTGAACACCAACCTGATCCGCACCCTTCTGCACAACTGCTTTCTTGGCTTTCACCTTTTTGATCACAGCCATCTACTAACTGAGCAAAAATGCAATAATATTGGATCGTGCCATTCGAAAGCAAATTCATACATACAAAAACTGACTTGATGACAAGACATTCCCAAGGTGATTGACAATAACAGTGTACCAACTTTGATATTTATTTTGAAATGACGACGAGTAGTGATAATAAATAAACAAAAATTTTCAATAGTTGTTGTGATCACGTCTTCTCTTCCTCATCCTTCTTCGCGGAAAATAAACGCTCAGCTCTTTGACGTAAGGTGCCACCACACTTCATTCCACGAGCTAAATTAGCTAGATGACATTATGCACAAACATTGAAGTTAAATTGTCTTCTAATTACTTGCAAAAAACAATAAAAACGCATTTTCGTGAGTGAATATGTCGATTTTACAAATAACTATTCGAAGATACCTATCAAAGCATGTTTGAGATGATTGAGCCCGAGCTCCTCCAGTTGAACGGCACTATCATATAACGACAGGTCTACAGCGGGAAAGTCCGTTGCTTCACTGATCTTCTCCTTTTCCGGCGCACTTTCTGTAGGTTCGCTAGGCTGAAATATTACATAAAAGTGAACATCAACTCTTTCACCTAAAACGATAAGAACACATGAAGAAATCAAACGTGTTCAACAGCAACGTACAGGAACCTCCACATTTTCCGAAGCATTTTCGCTGCAATCCGTCACGCACAAGGTTTCGACTTCTGACGTCGTGGGTTTCTCATCTTGCAATGACTTCGACGATTCCCCGTTTTGGGCGGTAAAATAGTCCTGGATCTCACGAAGCAGTTCAGGGTCGACATCATTCTCTTCCGAATCGGAACTAGAATCATCATCTTCGTCATCCCTGAAAATGAAATAAGCTATGAGAAAGCGAAACGCAGGTGAAATTCATGAAGTTTCTCCATAGCAACTTACAATTTCGTCTTTTTCTGCTCGACTTCTGCCGACGTCGATCCTGCCTTTCGTTTTCTAGTTTTCAAGCTACCAGGTAAATCATCGATATCAAAATCAGAATCGGACGAAGACTCCACAGGCTTCTCCTTTTTCTCACGTTCAGCTTTCAAAGCTTCCAAAAAACCTATAAAGAGAATGGGTTATACGACATTAAGGATGAGAACGAATGTAACGAATTTGAAAAGATAACATCACTAGTTCTTGTAAGCCCTCAATGATCATAGTAGCTAAATAAATGAAACAAAAATATTTAAATAAGTAAAATTAAGTATGCTGGAGAAAGCGACACAAACCTTCTTCGAAAGCTTCTTCAGTCTTTTCAATTATAGTCTCTTTTTGACGCATATAGTCGGTATCATCGAACATATGCTTTGGAGGCCCAGATTTCAGCTTCTCATACTTCGCCTTCCTAGAAATAAAGGAAAAAGTAGTAGGAGAAAAAGGCGAGAGGCTAAAAGATA